TGTCAGAAACATTTAAAATTGAATGGGTGTACTGTGCTTTTATTTCACCTGACCCTGTCATCAAGAAATAATGAATGCTCAGTTTCAGTCAATAAAAATGTCATTTGACATGTTTAAAGGAGGCCCACACAAAATGTGCTCCCGATTCACCTTCAAATTTGATTTTCTTGGGATCTGTCTCTGATTGGATAAACTGCAAAACATATAGGTTACTTTTCATTTTGGGTTTTGAGAAAAGTTTCTTTTACATAATTATTATACAGTCTGATGATCCAATCTAATATAAATCCAAAATAATTTTAAAAAAAAACAAAATATTCAGAAAGCAAAAAACCTGCTTTTTGTTCTTATGTTCATTAACTGAAGATATAAAGAAATTTTAAAAACAAAATGCAATTTCCCTTATCCTAGTGGCCATAGTATGAAACAAGTACTCATAACCTAGATGCCTGCTCATCATCATGACCTACTACCAGTTACAATTAACAAACCAACCACAAACTTTATTTCAGTGGCCAGAGAATGTGAATGACTTCCCCAAGATGAAGGAAAAAAGAAAGAAATGAATTGGGTCTTATATCAAAGAAAAAAACTTGAAAAATTTTAAATTTTTTTTTTTTTTAAAAAAATGTCAAGATCTAAGATAAAAGCTCAGTTTTTGTAGCTTGTATCAAGGCAATTAATTAAAGATTAAAATGCTTGATGATATTAGAAAGAAAGAATGTTTAAGATAGGTTGATTACTTTTATAAAATATGTAAACAGGTCTTGGGAACTTGTCAAAAAGAATAACCCAATTAACAAAAGAAAAAATATAAGTTTGACATGGAAACACCTTGAGATTTAAAGAAATATGACCTATATAAAAACTATAAACTTTTAAAATATGTATCAAAAATAAAATCATAAACTAAGTAATCTCAAATTGCTTCTGGAAAATTAAAAAAATTATTGTGGTCTTTGAAAGTGTCATTTGAATCTCAAAATGTGGAGGGGAAAAGAAAAGAAACAAAAATTTTAAAATCAAATTAATTAAAAAAAAGAAAAAAAAAGAAAGAAAGAAATTGAAAAATCTCGTAAAAAAAAACAGAAGAATAGAATGAAGAAGAAAAAATGTAGTTACATTATTTGAAAAACAAGCATCTGCACCTCAAGTGGTGTGGATGAGTTTCAATTTTTATGGAGGTGTAGCATCTTAAGAAAAAAATAAAAAAAAAAAAATTAAAAGTTGAAAAGAAAAAACGTTCCATGCTGATTCTTAAGACACGGCCTGTAGTTAATTTTCTGCTGAATGCTGCGACGGAAAAACCCCTGGAAAAGAAGAAGAAGAAAAAAGTTAAACAGAAAATATGGAAAATTAAGAAAAGATGGGGGGAGATGGATGGATAAATTAAAAAAGTTAGAGAAAAATGAAAAAGTGAAGAAGAAAGAGAAAGATGAGAAGTGATAAAGAAGAGAAAGAAGTAATGAGAGGAAGACAGAGAAAGAGATAGTAATGAGTTGGAGAGAGAAAAGGAGAAAGAATAATGAGATAATGAAAGAGAAGAGGATAATGAGATAGAGAAAGTGAGGGAAAAGGATAATAAAAGGGAGAAAGAGAGAAGAAGCTACTGAAAGGGAGAAAGAGAGAGAAGAAGGTAGTGAGAAGGAGAAAGAGCGAGAGAAAAGGGTAGTGAAAGGGAGAAAGAAGGAGGTAATGAGATGGAGAAAGAGAAAGAAGAAAATAACAAGGTGGAGAAAGATAAAGGAATAATGAGATGTAGAGAGAAAAGAGGTAATAAATTAGTGTAAAAGAGATAAGAGGGTAATGAGAAGAAGAAAGAAAAAGAAGAGGAAATGAAATGGAGAAAGACAGAGCAAAGAATAATAAAATTGAGAAAGAAAAAAGAAAGTAATGAGATGAAGAGAAACAAAGGTAATGATTTGGAGAAAGAATGATAAGAGAGTGATGAGACGGAGAGAAAGAGAGATATAAGGGTAATAAAAGAGAGAAAGAGAGAGACAAAAGGGTAATAAGAGAGTGAGAGATAGAGAAGGGGTTAGATTATAATCAGTGAATATAAATTTACAAATGGATAATTTACAAATAGTATTGCTGTCCCATAATAATTGGTACACTTGTGTACACATTTCATGCACTAAATGGAATAATTATTATGGAACATAATTCATAATTCATTTTTTGGTCTCTTTACATTGAAGCATTCAAGTCTGATACTTATTTTTTATATGATCTTAAAATTTTAAAACTCATTTTGACAATTATACAGTATTCACAACCACTTTAAACAATTTAATCAAACAAGTATTTTTCCACGGAAAAAAAAACACTAAAAAAACAAACTTTTCCTAACAGTTTAGTTTTGCCAAGAAATTGTCTTGAAGAATTGCAAATGAGATCTCTTCAGAAGAGACAAAGATTGGCCAAACTCTTTGTAATGCAGAACCAACACAACAATAACTAATTTTACGGTTTGTTTCATACAAGGATTGAGATGTGCAAGTTGTGTAATGGTTACTAGCATGAAAAGTTGAATAAATGATCAGAGTTCAAATTCTAGCCCAGACAGTTGGCTTTACTTTTGCACACATGTCCTAAGGAAAGGCATGAATCCATGTTCTTCCCTCCTGCCAGCTGTGGATTAAATAGCATGGTAGCTGGGCTCTCTAGCCTTGGGTGGCAACTAGTCTAAGAGAAAGAAAAACACTAACTTCCAAACCGTGGAAAACCACTGCACTAGCTTTCCCAATTAGGCAGGGCAATGCAAAGATAAAGAAATGGAATTGGTAGGGGGGTGGGGGCAATGACTGCCTACCACCAGAAAGGACATGACACTTAAAAAAAATCAAAAAGATTCTAATTCTAATTGCAATGCCATGTTTCTTCTTCAGGTGTTTGTCAATCCAGGTAACCTACTGGGAATTTAAAACTGAATTACTAAACTTAATTTAACCCCCAAAATTCAGATCGTAGTTGTTTTGTCTTCATTTCTCTCACCACCCGCAACAATGTTTCATCCGTGCAGTCTCCAGCTTTCCTTGGATGTTTCATGTCCTGAAATATAGAATTTTATTCCTCAGAAGCACATACATCTCTTATACATTCGACATGCAGTTTTTGCAACTCTGTAAGGTTTGGACTACTTTCACTTGACCTCCTCACTGACTTTGTGACATGTTAAGTTTTGTATGCACACCCATCTCTTGGTGGTCTTTTGATTAATTACCCCCACTCCAAAACTATTAATGTTGATCCTATACAGCTGATTTTCTAAATCACAAAAAATATTGGTGAGATAATTGTCAAATTTCACTGAAAAGTTATGGTATTTCTGGGCAAATTTTAGAACTGATTCAGTCTTTCTTAGCAAATTGTGAAATGAAAGTTGTCCTGAGCAGACACTGTTCTAGATATTTCTGCATTAATGCAGGTGTACCCCAGAGCTTTATCGTTGGACCTACATTGTTCCTAAAATTCATCAATGACCTTCCTGATGGCATCAGTTCTTAACTTGGCATCTATGCTGATTGCACATCTATTAACTCCTGTTTGAATAGTAAGTCAATTCGATAAGGTAAAATTGGCAGCTGATCTCCAATCTGCTGTTAAATGGGGCAAAAAATAGCTTGTTAATTTTAATGCCTCCAAAATAAAACTACTCTCTATTACTCCTTTCTACTTGCCATCTGCCTGGCTGATGCTAACCTCCAGGAGAGTGACTCATTGCACCTTCTTGGGCTAACATTCTCTACTGATATGAAGTGGAATGATTATATTGAATCGATTGCTAGGTCAGCTGTTAGGAAACTTTGTTTACCGTGTTGTGCTAGACAGTTTTTTTCCCTCCAGAATCTATCTTACATATTTATAAGTCTACCATTTGTCCTTGCTTTGAATATTGTTGCCACATATAGTTTTGTGCTCCTGCTAAATATTTAAAGATTCTTGATGAAATACAAAGAAGAACCTGCAATGTTATTGTTCTTGACCTGGCATCTCGGCTTCAGTCACTTTCCCACTGCCATAATGTAGCTTCCCTGTGCCTTTTCTACAAATGCTTTCATGGTACTTAGACTTTATGAATTTAAAGTACTAGATTGGCAGCAGAGTTTCATCATATTACAGTTGAAATGGGGAGACATAACCGTAAGTTCTATATCACTTGTGGAACTCTGGCTTCCCAGTCAACTTTGATCTTCAAATGCAATGTCAATCATTATTTTCTGTTTCCTGGTTTTTTTTATTGTTCCCTGTCCTTAATAGTGCATTTTTTCTTATATTCTTTCATTCAGTAATCACTTATATCTTAGTGGCTTTATTGTCTTGCTTGGGATCAAATTACTAAATAAAAAAAAATTCTATGTGATTGGAACTGCTTTCACTTGACCTCCTCCCTGATTTTGTAATCAAATTTATGATTTTTCTCATACAAAAAAAAAAAAAATAATAATGAAAAGGCAACTACTTACTTTGCAACCTTCGCAGGCATGAACTCCATAGTGGAAGCCACTGGCCTTGTCTCCACACACACGGCATAGAACTGTCTCCCCATCAAACTCTGAAAAATAGCAAGACAAAAAACATATATAAGTATATTTTAAATTACAGGTACAATAATTTAAATCTGTAGTTTTATTGGATTAAATAACAGGGCAGACTGGGCTCTCTAGCCTTGGTTGGTAACTAGTCTATGAGAAGGACTACAGGGAGTTCAATTCAAAAGGAGAAATCAATGGTAAATTACTATTACTTCTTACCAATAATATTAGTAAAATATTAGGGTAGACTAGCCTATCTAGCCTTGGATGGTAACCAATATAGGAGAAAGGCAACTCTGAATGGTTGTTTTACCTCTCTCTGTATGGCAGTGAAATATATGACAAAAGACTATAAATATTTTTAGATAAGTGAATATAACAAACCCAACTGGAATTGGAACTTGGATCTCTAAATTCCAATTCTGAGATGTTATCGGCTATATCACCAACCACACGCCCAACCTTACAGTACCTGGTAATCCCAAGCAGTCACCCATCTAGGTACTGACTGAGCTCAATGTTGCTTAACTTTGGTGATTGTATGAGAAGCGGTGTATCAATAGGTTATGGCTGTAAGCCATATTAAAACAAAGAAGCCGCAAAGAGGCGGGGGAAATACAAAGAAAATGTTGATAACTGTTAGAGACAGCTGAAGATTTACAATAATTAATAAGGAAAGAGGGTTGGGAGAATTTAGCACCCTCAGGTGCATAATGATGACAAGAAGTAAAGGAAAGCAAAGATGAAGCTGTTTGTAAAGTTTGTACCAAAGGTAACAGGAAAAAGGAGTAAAAAGAGAAAGAATTGCCTTGTCTATTCAAACTAATCCACAGTAAATTGAAATACATATTTGTCTATCTATCTATCTATAGAAAGATATAGATATGTGTACATGTAAACACACACAGAGTATCAAATACTTGTGAAGATATATAGAAAAACATATATGCACATATTTTATGTAAGGTATTTGTGCTTCTAAATCAAATTTCTGGAGTCACTGGTAAAAAATATTGTTTCAAAGAATAAAATTGGTTTTCTTTTTTTCCTATAAATTTCTTTTTGCACTGCAAAAAAAAAAAAAAAAAAAAAGAAAGTTTTGGTTTTTAAAAAAAAAAAAAAGTACTAAAATAGTCTGAATGAAGAAAAATGACACAAATTCGTGCAAATAAAGGGTGTGTCAGAGAGAAAGAGATTCATAGTGAGAGATGGACTTGATATTTGAGAAAGAGAGAGAAAAACTTGTTTTCATGGATTTTAGATACTGAAATGTGTGTATGTGTGGGGAGAGAGAGAGAGAGAGAGAGAGAGAGAGAAATTTATGCTCCAGTGGATTTTAAATGCAATTTATATATATATATATATATATATATGTTGTGTGTGTGTTTTTTTATATATATATATATATATTTATATGTATGAAAAGAAAATATTCTCCGAAATCTAATGTTTTATTGAATTTTAGGTACTTTGGCTTTAAATTTACTATAGTTATTGCACTTATTTTCTGATAAAGTCATGTATGGACATCCATATTTAGAAAAATCAGCACATTTATACATACCAAAAAATATTCAAAATTCTTTATAAAAAAATTATAGTAAGATTTTTCCATTTATGATTAGTAAATATAGATTTTACTTAATAAAAATATTACCTAACTGGTACAAATTAATACAGAAATTTAAAAGATTTAAGATTTTATTATTCTAAGTAAAATTTTAAAAAAATTGAATACAAGTCTTGTAAAAATTCATTATTCATGAAAAAAATTTTTTTTTCTCTTGATCTCCCATCTAAAGTAAGGAGAAAACAGATACTATGCTTTCATACCAGTCAAGAGACCAAGAATAACAGCAGGAGATAGAAAAGCTCTCATTCGGTGTGTGTCAAATTGGGTGTTAAATTTTTTTGTGGGTCTAATTTAACCATTGTGGGAGTCGGAAGAAGATGGTTGCTGAGGAAAACACATATTATGTATTGGGGCTGGATGGGTGCCCCAATAATTTCAACAAAAAAATGCATTGGCAACAGGAAAGAAAATTGAAATCTGTGTTTCACTGTTTTAAAAAATTGTTTCAAAAACCCCGACATTTAGAATTTCCATACTCCCAAACCCAGGTTTTGTCTGTTTAAAACACAAGTTTAAGAAAGTTCTGTGTGGTGATGGTGGTGGTGGTGGGGGGCATTTAATAAAAGAAACAAGAAAGAGGAGGACAAAAAAGTTCTGAAAAACCATTCAACATTTTCACCCAAATATTTGTCCACACACATTATATGCGCAAAGGTGTGTGTGTGTGTGTGCACGCAATCCTGTAGACAGTTCTACATCTATGCAGAGACAAAAGGATAATTATGAACAGATACAAAAAGTTTATTTTCTAGTTAGGCAGTCCATTGGCCTGTGATGAGAATTTGAATATAAGTGCTTCACTAGGCTGTCCTTGTACCAAGCTAAACTGTGCTTTGTAAAAATATAAAAAAAAAAATTATAATTACTGAAGAGCATCAATAAGTAAATAGCCTAATGATGAAAATGGTAATTTTTTTTATTTTTCAACATAATCTTGTCAATGCACTTAATTCAATGGTGATTATTAATTGCATAGATTAAAAATGATAATTAAAGTAGTGAAAATTTCAGATTGAAATTAAGTTGATAAATACATGCCAGGCTAAAGATTTATTGATCTGTCCTCACTCACATGTGTTTTATACATGTATATAAATGTGTGTGTTTGTTTAAACATGTGCACACACAAACATGCACATGCATTTATAAGAGGATTCTGCAGAGTTCTTAGCCTGACCAAGTGAATGTTTTTAGGGAGATGGGATACCTGGCTGGATTGAGAACTTTTCAGCATTCCCATAACTCTAGATACATGCATAAAAGTCTCCACATTCATTTAGAATTAAAAAAAAAATCCTTGATAATGGTTAAAAGAATAGCTGAAAGCACTTGGACATACAAAACATTTGGATAATTTTATACACTTTATGCCCAGAAAAGAAATAAAAACTTATGAATACAAGTAAAATTAAATCAAAAGCTTATATGTTGTATCGTGTCAGTTTTCATGAAACTTGTATAAAAGAAGGATTGCTGCACAAATATACAATGAATATATATTTCTAGTCCTGAACTTGCACATTGGTGTCAAATTTAGGCATCAACACCATCATCATCATAAAGGAAGTTTATCAGTAAAAAAAATTAAAACTAATTTAGAAAACAAAAGAGACATCTTCTTGGATATGAGTTATATATCTCTCTATATATATATATGATTATTTTTGTGTGAGAGAGAGGTAATTTAAAGATATTTAATCTTAATAAATATACATCCTGACGATGTGTGTGTGTGAGAGAAAGAGAGAGAGAAAGAGAAATAGATTGACAGATATTTATATTAATAATAAATATACATCCTGATAATTGCCACATGCATGAAACTCAGAGTTGTGCTAACCAAAAGAGACACAAAATATATATGTTTATTGCTATAAATTTTCAGTTATTTTTAAAACAAGCACATCAGTTTTTTCAGATATCACTTACTATACACTACTTTATATTTTATATATTTGTGTGTGCGAGCGTGTCTGTAGAATATAAACCCCATACATCAGAGTTAAAGGTTAAAGTTATAAAACTTGTTATATGATTCTTTTAATGTTTTAATATGTTTTAAAACACACACAACTAGGCAGACATTTTTTTTTTATTAGGAACAGAGAAAGACCAGCAGTGACAGAAAACATCTCATACAGGTTCCATCCCAAAAAAGAAATTTCTCAACAGTTTAAAAATAATATCTATGAGTCAATTTATACTTGACTAATTTTTCGCATTTCAGGTGTGGCAAAAAGAACTTGAATTTTGATGATAAGAGAATTACAGGCTGGAAGTTAATGGCAATTAGGATCCGTTCATCATGCAGCACCTCCCATTGCCTTGCTAGACCCAGCTAATGGGCATTTGTGATGGAGCAACCTGGGGAATAAAATTTTTTTTTTTGACATCTTGGGGCACTATTCTGAGTCTTATTGTTTAACTCATGAGAACCTGTGTTTCCTTTGTATTCTGGACTGTACCTTACTTTATAAGACTGGAATACAGTAATATAGTTTATATGGTATACTTTCAGGCAAACGTAACCTTTATTTATATATATATATATACAAAAATGGTTTTTGCCAAAAAAATCAAAATACTTTTAGCATTTATCTTGATAATGGGTTCTTTGAAGGAAATATCCACAAACATTCTTTGATTATTTTTACAATATTTACCCATTGATCCTTGGACATTTTCACTTAAAATACTGAATTTAAAAAATCAGTTTCCATGTAGGACAACTTGCTTCTCTGTGATGTTTAGTAAAAAGATGCTAGTTTATTTGCTTTCTTATCATTAGACCATGTTTTTAATATCCTGCACCTTTTTTTTCACTGTTTATATTCACAACACTGCAATCAACCTTCTAAATTTTATGAATTTTTAAAGCCAGTTTTTGTTTTCTTTTTTTTTTTATTTAGTTAATGTTTTTCTTCTATTTTCTGTTTAATATTTTTTTTTTTTTGTGTAATTTCCAAAGTTAGGTTCCCATTACTCAATAGCTTTAAATGATCTTGTTATGAGGTTGTATCTTTCTTAAAATCTAACAACCTTTTAGGTTGGAAATTAAAAAAAAATGTAATCGGAACCACTCCTTGCCTAATCCATCTTTCATGGTAGATGTCAACCAGTGCATGCAAAACAATGTGACTAAAATGTGCTGGAGCCCCATCATGCATGAACCACATGTGTCTTCATATTAGCAGTACATCCTCTAGCAGGTCTGGAAGTGTGTTCAAAATAAAATCCCTGTAGACAGCTCCTGTAAGATGTGCTAGGGGGAACATATGGAACTACCAGACAGTCACCTACACATTCAATTTAATCAAAACAATGCTGGTGTCTAGCCTGTATTGTACCATATGGATTCCAATCTGCCCACAATTTTGGTTGTGTAAATTTCTTATTCCATCTCTTCCAAATGTTGCCTCATCTGTAAACAAAACTGAAGAAACAAACAATGGATTGGCAGTTTGTGCAATAAACCATCAGCAAAAGTTCATTCATGGTGAGTGATCAGGGGCAAAAGACCCTGCACATGTTGCAAATGATATGGATACAGGAGCTGCTCTTGAAGTACTCTCCATGCACTATTATGATATGTAACATGCTAGGGCCACTTGACATGTGCTGATACCTGGATTGTCTCTGAGCCTGTAGAATGTGTTCTTCATGGTCAGGTGTACAAGTGGAATCCACCCCAAAGTTTGGAAAAGTATTTTTACTACACCCTGTATATACCAGAAACTTCTGATCAGTGAATGTGGCCTGTCAGAATGAGTAAGCTCCTCTGTTAGCTATTGTGCGACACTGAGGCTCACATCTGAGGTTAAATGTTGATTCTGAGCAGAAAAAGGTTAAGCCCAAAATGGAATGTAAGCTGAGAGAGAGAGGAAACATTTTTCTTACTGAAAATGGGACCATCTGGATTTCTTCTTTCCTAAAGTTTATT